TTCTCTTCAATTAACACAGCACAACTTCAAGATGTTAAACAGACATATTAAAACGCCAAATGCTAAAAAAGTATTTTTCGTAAAATTGGAAAAGTTTCTTTAAAAATGTGTAAGGCAGGAAAATGAATATAAAAATGTCTAGTGAGACAACGAAACAAGTGAAAACAGATGGATCTTGCATCGTAAATTTCTCTTCATACGAATTAAAAACTATGAATAACGTCTGTAATTACCGAGAGCGACCACATATTTTGCAAGCAAGTCCGATTCTAATTTTACCGCGACTAACCACAGGGCCAGAACCATCATCAGTTGCAATTATCGTCTTCGTCACCGACGAGAGAGACGGTGGGGGTGGGGAGGGCAGGGGGCGCCGCGGCCCAGCGCGGAAGAAACAAGTGGCGGCGACGGGCCCGCCTTTCCTCGGACTCGAACCTGCCTCGCGGCAGCGGCGCCGGAGGCGGGGGCGGGGGAGGAACGCGCGCGGTCACCGACGCTGGCGCGCGCCGCGCTGGGCCACGCACAGTGGGTAGGATCCCACACTGCGCGCAATCGGCAAAATACTTGTTCTCAAAAACAGAACAAACGACTATTTTTTTACATACTATGCTGCATGGCAATACTGAAGATTACTACTGTATTATTATAGCAATCCTACAGCACGATAACAGTGCGTGGGCTCAAAAGAATTAGCGAAGTGAATGAACACTAATTTCGATACCCGTTAATCGGTGTTAATAGAAGTGCTTTAATTCCACATGTTCCTTGGAGCCATTGAACGACACATGAAGGAGTGTTTTTATGTAAGACTATACACACACGAACGTTAAATAGTTTAAAATATTAGGTGTACTTGCAATAAAGGGGACGGGGTCATATCATCAGAAAATGTCAGCCACATCGGAATCCACATACATCAGTGGCTACGTAACTAACGCCTTTTGATATTTCTTTCTGATTGCATTACATTGCGAAGGAATATTGATATTAGACAGAATTTCATTCAGGGGAAAATTCTTCCTTCTCGCTTGAAGCGACAGGGCGGCTTTATTTAGTAGTATTTTTTTTATTAGGAAGTGGCGGGTGTCGGGGTGCGTTGGCACGTGTCGGGGTCCGTTGGTATGCGTTTGGGAATGTTGATATGTGATTGGGGAAGTTTGTATCTGTTGCGAGCTGTTGGTATATTGTGAGGGAAGCTGGGATTTTGGTGTGTGAGTGTGTGCGTGTGTGTGGAGGGGGGGTATGCTGGCGTTTTTTTACGTGGCATGGAAAAATTTCTAAAGACATATCAGCGAGGGCCCGACAACCCGCAGCAGTGTGGGATTCATAGCTACCTATGATTACCCACCTAAAAACCCTCCTTTCCTCTATTCCTTCTCGCGGAACGGCGTCAGGCATTGCATCCGAGAAGGAAAGGATGGGCTTTCGCACCTTTCACCGAAATATTACGGTAGACTTCTTCGTAACTGCTCTCGGAGCGGAGCGTCTTCAGGACCTTTGCGGCAAAGGTGGCTACCGCCGACTTCCAATACTATATGTCAGCAGCATCCTAGTGACGATGTCGTCAGGGGTAATTCCTCTTGGAGGAGCTGTGAAGTTCTTCCCTTTCCACCGCGTAAGCAGTGGAACAATGAAGAAACACTGTTCTAACATCTTCAATCACCGGAAACACTTGGGCATGAGGAGCTATCGTCTCAACCGGAATCGGAATGATACTGTCGGTAACATCCCTGCCGTTCACATCCTGAGTTAGATAAAAATCTATTGTCTCCATGTTCCTTTGATCCACGCATGATGTCGGGAATGACCGAAAATGTCACTCGCCCAGTTGATGCATTGCTCCCATCGTCGTTGCCATTGGTCATTGTCGCCCCCCTTCTCTTCTTTCGTAATGGTATTCTCAGTTGAGGCCCCCCCGCTTGCTCGCAATAAGTCTGCTCTCTCCTGCGCAATGAGTCGATCGAGGCATTCTGCTAACACCACACAGACAATATAGGGATACGGTGCGAAACGCTCGAGCAACCGCGCAAGCGGACCTTTATGCACCGACTTAGCCCACGCGTATGAGCTGAATGCCCATGTGCATCAGCTCCAAATAGGGGCTGCGTAGAGAAGAATGAATTGACTACTCTACAGCAGCTCCGGCTTCTTTGCCCAGGACCCCTACATTAGGATTAATGCGTGCCAAATGCGGATGCCATACGCGACGCTTTCTTCGGAGACATTCCGCAGGTGCTCGTCAAAGCGGCAGTCCGCGGCAATATGCACTGCAAAAACCTCAGTGGATCAGCTGCGAGTAATTTCGCTGCCTCATTAAGAGAATACTCTCTCTCACTTTTCTGCCCGTCACCAGCACGCCTCTGTTTTATGGCGCCATCTGTAGCGCCTACCGACGTAAAGCCACCGCGATCTCCGCTACAGCCCCATGTGGCAACCTCTGCTTGTTCGAATGTAATTTTGCCGACAACGACAATTGCAACATCTGTCAGCGATCCAAATCGTTCTTGCGTCTCCGGCAACTCGAGCTTCAACACGCGGTCATACATAATGTTCCTACAACAATCGGACCAAGAATACGAGCGCTTGTGGACACGCTCTGTACCGTAATACAGATGTACTCCCAGCCCAGTTTCTATAGGGAAGGATTCTCTCCTAAGTACTTTTTACCAAGTTCGAAGTGTACCTTGGAACTCAAGAGTTCGAGCGCAGAAAGAATGGAGTTCACCTTGCAGTTTAAAGCGTTTTTACGTTAGGTCACTATAGCACATACTCATAGGACCGTTTTCATCGTTTGCTCTCAAGCCTGGTGCGATGTCGATGACTCAATCTAAATATGCAATCTACGTGGATCTCGCTTTTCTAAAGCGTTACTGATTCATCAGACAATCCTGAGCGCCTCTAGTAAATGACCTCAAATACGATATGCTGAATAATCCGCTCCAACACTTTGCTGCTGTGTCCCAGTTAAGCATATTGGCGATAGGCGCCGATCCAGTAGGCCCGTATCGCCCTTCGGAGAAGGGACTAGCTGTTCTGCTTCATCGCACGGGGAAATTCCCTCTCGTATGCATGCATTATATGCCTGCAAAGAATAAGTCGGCCGAGTCTTATAGCGGTCTTAATTGCTACATTTGGTACCCCATCTATCCGGGGCTTGCAATCTTGGACCTTGCCGCAAGTACTGGAAAGTTCATCAACGTGACTGCAGAAACCTCGCTTAATCTTCCAGACAGATCCTTCGTTGTAACATATCTACCTGGCGAGGAAACCAAAGGTAGCTAACTTTTCCAAGAAAACCGGGCAAGTGGGTGGTCGCCTAACATACCGTGACCTCTGGCCCGTTACAGCTTATACGGGCGTCCCCAGGGCGTCAGCATCACCTCCTCCCCTAGCTCTGTCCACAACGACACTTACCTAATCTAATGGTTTTTGTGAAAGCTTTCTGCGTCCAGATGTGGGGTATGTGGCGTGTTGTGTTGGGGGGGGGGTTATGCTGGCGTGTGGTGTGTGTGCGGGGTATGCTGGCGTGTATGCTGGTGGGTGTCTGGGTACGCTGTGTGTTCTGGGTAGGTGTTGGTGTCTGTACGCTCGTGTTGGTCGTGGGTTTGGATGTGTGCTGGGTAGTAGGTGTGTGTCTGTGGTACGCTGGTGTGTGTCTCTGATGCTATATATTATAATTAATATATATATATATATATATATATATGTCTGAAGATGTTGGTCTATGTCTGATTCTAGAGCTGGGGCTAGGGGCTGGCGGTGGATATGGAGCTGGTTGGCGCTATGTTGGGTTGGGCTGGGCTGTGAGGAGGTGGGCGGGGCACGCGGCTCGAGGTGACGCCCATCCAGGAAAAGCAGCGCCCGGGACGCGACGCTCGCAATCGCACGCGTGCGCACACTCACGATTTCCATGGTGGCCGGAACCACGCTCGGCGCCGGCTTATTTCACATGCTGGCATAAACTAAACCCGAGTAAAGAAAATAAATGTTCGCGCTAAACTAAAAGGTTTCTTAATTTAAGCAACAGAAAGGTACTTAAGGCGTAGGATGCATCAGGTGAAATTTGGGGGTTTATCAAATCATTAAAATGAAGAAAAAATATGGAAAATTATTCGTCAACTCTCATATTAAATGTATAACTATGATCATCTTGCTCATTACTTTATTCGAAAACTCACAAACGTTCAAATGTAAAGCCCACAGTCTGGTTGAGAAGCGATATACGAATAAATCTCTACAACGTTCCCTTTGTTCTCCAAAAGAAAGTTTTTAGTAAGATATTCAATAACGTCCGAATTATGCTAAGGAAAGATACGATTTTAAACGTTAAAATGTCTTCTTTCATATTAAGTTGGCAGTAATATTTGTTGGTCGAGAGTATGCGAGAATCCACATAGATCTCCAAAACGGTTCGAATCCCATCCGCCCAACTGTTGGGCTGGCGGAGATTACATTACAATTTTTTGTATTTTGTAATTCTATACTTTTACTTTGGATTGTATTTACCTCTACAACTAAAGACGAATAAATGAAGACTGATTTACAGTAAAACTAAGTACTTAAAGGAAGTTAGTGTAATATAATGTGCATTTCAAAATACTTTAAAATGTGAAGGAAGACGAGACTATCATGACTTCCAGCATTACAGTACTTTATTTCTACCCTAAAAGTGGTGTTAACTAAAAATCATACTCGTTCAAAAATAATACGTGCAATTAAATGAAAAATTACATTCAAAAATTAAATATTCGCATTGACAAATAGTCTTGCATCTTATTTTCCAAACGAAGAATATATACTTTTATTCAGCCCTATCTGCACCTTTTGGAAGCCTGAGAAACGGCTTCTTTTCAGGGCGGTGTTGATCATCGTGCATGAAAATTCTTAGTAGTACTGTAAACGTCTTTTTGGTGGGGATACTGCGCACGCAATGGCTTCGTACTTGCGGGGGTACTGAGACCCGCCTCCGCACCGCGCTCTCCTACTCAAATGACAAGTGAATGCCGCACGAGCGCAGGCGAAGCGTGCAACCTGGCCCTCCTCCGTACTCAAGCCACCTGCTACCTCGAGCCCCTTCTCGAAGCAAGGAAGGACGAGGAGATGGCAGGAGAGATAAGGGGGAAGAAGAGGAAGGGACCTCACACATGCTTGGGATGAGCAGTGAGTCAAAGGCTCCAGACGAAATGCATGAATTCATCAGACACTACTCTTCTGGAAGAAAGGCCCCTTGTCAAAAGCTTCTGCGATTCGGCTTTCTCGCCAGTTGGGTGGCCTATCTTTGGCACCTTCGCCTTGACAGTAGGAAAGACCATAATACGAGACCCTCCGGTCAGCGTGAGTCACTCATGGAGACCAGCCGTGAACTTCACGAAGGACACGTTTCTAGATGCGTGCTTTAGATGCGTCAAGTTGAACGCTGTGTAGAAAACGAAAAGGACCAGAAGACATCATTACACACTCCACAGAAGGGCTAGCAGAACAAACGAGAGGGCAGTCGTGAACGCTTCAGGAATCGCACAAAGAGGTCGCAAATAGTGGGGAAACTGTAAGAGGCGCGCAGATTGCGAACAGGACAACAGAAGAAACAAACACACTAGAAGGAACGTACAATTTAAACTCTCACGAGAATTGAACTTTAAAATTATATTCGAAAACCTATCGTAACAAATGCGCACAATGTATGAAAGTTTACGGGAAGTCACATTGTTCGGTTATAGACACCATTCGAGTTATTCAGTTTGGCTGAAATAAACTAACACTAGAAAAGTACATTATGATTAATGGACTTTTAGTGTTCAAGAACTACTTCAATAAACAATTTCAGAATACAAATATTTTATTAGCAAACGTTGAGTTCCCAAAAAACATTGGACACACAATGCACCACTCCCATTCTACTGATGTAGATACCATGTATTTTCTCCGAAGATAATCTATTTTCAAATTAGTATTTCTCTCAATTGCAAAAGAACCACATTACTGTTGGTCTCTGAAGTAGAGCAAGTACCAATGCAAAGAAGACTTACAAAACAAGCAAATGGGTCCCAGGTTCGTTTCTCGAAAAGTCGAGCAAGTACACTCGCATCCGAATTTCCAGAAGCCTCGCGTTCTACAGTTAGGAACGGGACCCGCGGCGCCACTGGCGCCTGGGGACCTTCCGCGAAGCGCGCGCTGCACCGCTCCCGCTCCGGGGCGAGCGACACAACACGAAAATGGAATAATAAATAAAGGCGCGCGAGGCGTGCGGGGAGGCGCAAAAGGAAGGAGATAAATCTCGAAGTTATGGACCCGCCAAGGCGCAGACGGCGGTGGTGACGATGGCGGCGAAGGATGGTGTGTGGTGGTAGTTCGCCTCCCCTCCACCGAGCACGCCGCCGCCGCCGTCGCCGCCGCCGCCGCCGCCGCCGTAGGGCCTGCCGAGCACCCCGCCTCCTCCCCGCTGCTCCCGCCGCCCGAAGGCTCAAAAGGCAGCGGCGCGGCGGGCGCGCCTTCACAGAGACTGCAACCGGCGAACAGGCAGCGAACCCTCCGTCTCCGCCTCGCAGCCATGGCCGCCGCCACCCTCTCGCCCCGAAGTTTCCTGGCGCCAGCGCCGGCGTCGGCGCCCGCGCTTCTCGCCGTCCTGCTGCTGTCGGCCGCTGCCTTCGTCTCCGGTGAGTGCGCCTCCTTGCGCTGTCTTTCACTATTCTTCAGAAGATGACAGTCTTTGAAATCGTGTTCAAATGTTCAAAAGATTGCAGTCCTAAATTAGCTGCGTTAAATTTCCGAATCTCCTATCAATTAACGTAAGCCTTAAAAAGAATTTCTTTTAACATTTAATATTTTGTACGTTCATTACCATTTAGATAATAATAAAAAGTGCTCTTATTCATAAAGGGTTATTCACAAACATTTTCTTAAACATTTCAAAATTGTTAAAATGGTTTGATGATGTCCTATGAATCAATGTATTTGGGAAACGAAATTTAAATTCAGCTAAAAAAAAACAGAACGCCTATTCACAACATAAAACATTTTATATTTTCTTAATGGCATACTTTTGCATGCTTATCTCTATTAGTACAATGTGATGGCATTTAAATTAAAAAGCGTATCATTAACAACCCTACAGTAACGCCCTCTTAACGTCCAAGCCAAAGAACTATCTACCAGGTGATGAGATCGCAGAAGAAAGTAAAACAGCTCTCCACAGGTTATCAAAAATATCTCACCCGTCCAAAATTAGTTCCAACAATCGAAACGATCTCTCTCCGCTATGATCACCCGGAGGCAAACGGATAAAATTCCACAGTATAAAAAGAACAGAAAGGTCGGACTCAAAGTCGTTCACATTTCACTGCAAAGCATGTATCTTATATCAACAGTATTTGTTAGGTAAAGACCTCCAATTTTTAAAGGCACGAGAAAAAGACTCCTATATTACATCGTGAATACTACCACCTACAAGATCCCTTTTCACTACTTCTTACTACCTGCTCCTTCACTCTTGCAGCTCTTTTGTTCTTTCTCAAAGTTTATTTTTCCTTTCCTCAGTCGAACTTCATCAGTATTTTTCTTGTTTTTGTACAATTTTGCAATAGTGTACTTTGTAAGTGGGAAAGTTTTTTAAAGTCTTGTTAAAACGGAAACTATTTCATGTTGTATTTTTCGAAGATATCTTTTAACATAAGTTAAAATATCAACATTTAGCAATTAAGGTTTGAATTTAAATAATTCCCTTATTCGTAACAATTTGTAGGAACGAATTCGTAAATTTCAAGTACGTAGTAGTATAGTTCATTATCACCATAACAATAGAGTTTTTGAAACGCATCTCAAGGACAAGAATCTTTATTCATTAATTTATATGAGATGTAGTTAAGGCATTCTCTTTCAAAATCTATAAATGGTTCGAAATTCGCTTCCGCTAATCCAATATTTGGCATTAACGAACATGTCGTTAAGCTAACAACAAAGTCTTCATGCGCATGAAGCTGTTGGCACGAGCCCAAGAAGCGCGAGATCCCCAAACGCACGGCCAGGACGACGGCCGCGTGCGGAGACAACTTCCCACACCGAGCGGAAGACTCACAAAACGTCTCATGGAGCCACCGTTCAACCCGCCCCACTTACTCATTTCTTGATTCCTCTATAAGTAACTTTTAAACTTTTATCACTCCCCTCCCTACATATTACTTGTAATTTTACATGAAAAAATACCAATCTCCAATTAAATATTTATCAATCTAAATTACAGGTAAACTATTTTAAAACTGTATTGTATTCAATTGTCCTACACATTAATGCATAAAAAGATGCGTAAAAAGATACAACAGTCTTACAATACTCTTAGACAATATTCTGAATGTATTTTGTTAAATTTTAATCAACGTTGATAGCCATATGTATTATGAGCTGTAATTGGAAATCATCCACTCGTTTTTGAGACAATCATACATTTTCTTAAAACTTATATTTATTCAAACATATGTAATATAAAAAATATATCAAATCCGAATAATAACCAAAAACTACACATGTTTAAAGAATGTATGATTCTCTCACAAAACAAATGGATACTTTCCTTATATTTTAGACCATATTCATTAATGATTTTACGCGTAGTACAAGCAGCAATACTTGGTATACTAGCAGAGTAGTATAAGGAGCTATAGTAGCTTATGCTAAGAAATATAATATAAAATATAGGAATGAAAATAATAACCTTGAATGAATTCAAGTTTGAATACATGTATACGTTTGTGAAGGATTGTATTAGGGCATGGTCCATTATCATTTTAGAGCTTAGCATCAGCAGCTAGACCCGTCGTCGTTCATTAGCACACATCCTCTCCATCGGGCAGTTATTGCCCTGGCGGGAGCTGCCCCGGCCACCGACCGTTAGGGCGCTGCCGTAAGCGGCCCCGCGGCCCGTTGTCCCCGGCGACGCACGCCCCCGCCTCGGCCGCGTGGGCCTTATTAAGTAAGCCTCCCTCCCTGCGCCGCCGGCACGCCAACACACAGCCACTCACGCCACCCCAGAACGGCCGGCGGCGCGGGGCTGAGGCAGATTATGTAGTTTGTAATATTTGCACGGAGATGCCGCTCCAACACTGCCGCGGCGTCGGGTGGTCCGGTCCGCTCGACGCCTTTCTCGCGCCCCAAGCTTCCTTGGTTTTCACGGCAACGCCCGCCCGCCCGTCGCCGCCCCGCCTGCTGTAACATTCACCACCCTCGCGCCGCGTCACATGGAGAACGCGCTAACGACCCCTGCCCCCGCCCGAGATGGGCTTTTAATTGCGGAGGGTGGCCGAGAACAATGGGTGCCGGGGTACAAGAATTTGAGAGCGACGCTTTTGGAATTCTACTCTTCAGAAATCGAAACGACGCATTCTTCTCTAACTATTTGATTCGTCTAAAGATTTTCTTTAAATTTCAGTTATTTGTCAAAGAGAAATATGACAAAGAAGGATATTTTTTTAAATGGAAGCTCGGAGTTTTCCTTCAACATTTGCTTGAAAATTAAAAGATAAAAAGTCACATAAGGAACTCTCTTTTTTATTTTATTTTTAATCACTTCATCAATTATTTATTCTCAAACCTAACAATCCAATATTAGAAATGTGCAAAAGGAAGGGCTGTTCCATCGTTAACATGCTTCCAACCTCTATCACTCCTTTCGCAGTGATAAAACTCTTCGCTAACCAAATCCGGTAGACAATGGTAGAGTTCCTTAATATGGACCCTGATCTTCAGGCACTAGGATGCCCTAAACGGACGAACCGTTAGGGTCCTACAATACGAGGGTCGTAATCTAACGATGTTCATATTAACATGACACAGTTAGGTTGATATTTGCAAAAATAAACCTTGTAATGAAATAAAATCTTGTGACTATTTGTACTTTAATATGACGTCATCGAACTACGGATTCACACATTGTAAAGGACAAAAAATGTCTGAACGTCTCGGTCGACTGAATCCTTTGATTCTGTTTATGTAGAGGCTTTTCAGGATTCTATGAAGAGATGAGAGAATACGGCTATAATGATACCCAAATTAAAAAAAGTTCAATTAGCCTACCGTTTTGGTAATTACCGATAAAAGAGAGAGAGAGACCTTAATTGGTTCTCATATTTCCTCTAGCTCATCAATCACTGTTTATCGCGGAGAGCGACTATAACGAATGAAGGCCCAGCGCGCAATGAGGCGCCGCCGTGGGCCGCCGACAGAGCTGGAGGGTTGCGTCGAGGCCGGAGCGAGCCGTGGGAGCAACCCGGCACGGGCGCGCGGGAGGCATTAGCCGCGTGGCATCAGTCGGGAGCCCGCGGCGCGCGCAACCGCCATTGAAGCTCAGGCCCGTGCTCGGGCCACTATACACTGCATCGATCGGCCCCCCGGCCCCACCCCCCCACCCCCGACCCCGCACCCGCGCGCTCCCGCCCCCGCACCTCGTACTCAGAAGTAACCCCCGCCGCGAGTCCTGACTTGGCCGCGGCAAAGCGGTTGAGCTGATGTTTCTCCCGATCGTGAGGTCTGTGACCAGCTGATGGACGAGGAGCCTCTATGCAATTTGCCGCTGCCGCTGCCTCCGCCGCAAGAACCAGTTCTCCCTGACCGTGAGGCCGCGGGCCAGGGCCGGGGCCAGGGCGAGAGCCAGGGCCGCGGGCCGCGCCGCGTGGGCGCCCGCATCCTCCACGCCCCCTCCTCTTCCTCATCATCTCCTTCTCTTCCTGTCCGTTTTTTTTCTTGCGCGTTTCATAGCCCCCATCGCGAATGCCGTCCGTCGCCTCTTTTGTTTTACTTTCACTGCACAGCAACGTATGTCACGCGTTACCGCACTTTAATAATACCCTTCAAGATCTTGCGATGTATTGTGTTATATTTTGTAGACCTAGAAAGGGTCACTTTCAGTGTAACTCACGTAAAAAGAGAATATGTTCAACTTCAAAACTTTAATAGAAGAAACCATATTACAAGGTATTTTTTGTCCATGAAATAAATTTAGTACTTCGGTATCTTCGAAAGCTCGCTTGTAGAGCGTATTTTCAATTTGGAGTTTAGTATTTTTCCAGATGCTTTATCACAAGTCCTATTCGTCGTCTGCACGTCATCGTTCGGTATATTTTTAATCTGTTATGTTGTTGTTTTTGTCCTTTCATGAAGACCAACACGTTCCAACATTATTGGATCTGTTTGTCTTTCTGCTTCTATTGCTTTCGGCGTTGGTTGTCATAAGCTGACTTTCAATAGGCGTCAGCAGCAATTTCCTCTCTGCAATGAAACAAGTTTACGAGCGCTCTGTGCAGTCGCTCGATGGACAGGCAGTGGATTAGTGAGGTCTAGAGATTTACAGCCTAGTGGTTCTCAGCCACAAGGGAATGACGTAAGAACAAAGACACAAAGAATAATACAAGATGAAACTAAAAAATATACTTGGACAAGAAGAAAATCCACACGTATTGATCGGAAGGCAAAGAAAAAAATCAGAGAGAAAAAATCCGAACCAATGCATGTAACAATTTTCTACCCCACAATTCTATGAAAATCAAATTAATTTTGAATATTCATTTAGAATGAATTATGTCCCTAATTTCAAATAATTTTCTTACCTAGAAATATTTTTTCCAATTATTTAATAAACCTAGATTCTGCAAGTGACATGCGATATATT